ATTTTTCAAATCCGAACACGACAGACATCTATGTGTATGATATTGCTGGCATCCAAGCAACTCCAAGTTTATTAGAGATTCTTGTAAGTCGATCCACTCAATGGATTAATTTCATGCTACATAAATAGTCCCATTTTTGAATAGTCTAGGGAAAAACAAATTTTACTCACAACAGACGAATACTAAGAATTTTCTACTTATCAGTTATTTTAAATGGAAAGTTTTAACTTATTGAAAAAAAAATATATATATATATATATATAAACTCTCATATTCTATTTCGAATTATCATACCTTACTAATTGTCTGAAATATTAAATAATACTTAAAGAGCAGCAGGAATTCTATCTAAACTTAACTTTATTATCAATCTGAAAGTGATTAGGAAAACGACAAAAAATTGATAGAATTTTTAACATAAAATGATTAAATTATTATCAACCTTTGAATCTATCGCAAGACTATTCTCAATTAATTGAAAAAAATTTAAGTTAATTCAATAAAAATGAAAAATAAACGTCTTTTAGTAAATTACACAAGTTTCACTCGACCTAAATCATTTCAGTTCTAATTAATAGTTATTAAACCACCATCTATCACGTACACTGATGATGACAGTAAGAAACAAAGTCAAACAAGAATAGTTTCATTTTTGTATCATAAACTACGGTCTTTGTATAAAGTTTCTTTAGTTTTGTAGTATTTTATTCAAATAAGAAAGTTTCATGCGAAAAATAGTATGGCGTGACTTTTTTCCCTTATTCATTATGCATTTAAACACAAATTATTTTTTTTCTACACAAATACAAGCATTGTTCCGAGTTATCACCAAACTACTGAAATACTTAAAGTTAAAAAATGAATTTAAAAAAAGCAGACAAACGTTTAAAAAAAGGTAAACGGAATAAATTAGGCTTCAGTATATTTGCCATGATAAATGAATAAGAAAAATTTTTGAAGTTTGCCAAGTTGTAAAAAGGTTTTGTTTAATTCATTGTTAGTTTTTACTTATAAACGACATCAGAGATATGAAATCTCCGAACAAATTGTCCAGTTGTTTGTTTCTAATCTGTGAGTCTTAGACAGCTTTTAACCATGACAGCAAATCAAACCTTGTTCAAGATATAGAGATTTCTTGGTAAAAACAATACTGTATCTTAACATCTATCCATATTTTGATGAAAACTGATTTGCTTTGTTACCTGAAAACGATTGCAAGCGTAAATATAATTATGAATATTTACTGATCATTTTCAAGCCATGCGATATACATAAGATCTTAACACCATATACGATCAAGATGTACATTCCCTAGTAAAATCGTCAACCATTATCTTTACTAGTTGTCGCAGTTAAGGTATTCTCGCCTGAAATAATCACTGGCTTCAAATTCTGAGCCGTGTCTAATAACAACTAGTGTCACTGAGTCGCGCTATCCCTAGGAAGCCAACCAAGGATTCTTGAAGTTCCAACAAATGATAGTTCTGTACAGCTTTTCTCCATACCACAACATATCATACACTAAACACCTCTCCGATTTTTTTAACCAGTTTCAGCCTTGCCAAATAATACATTATCTGGAATTAGCTGGAACAACATTCGTAATATATGTCCGAGCCACCGAAGTCGGTATTTCAAGATGGTGTTATCAAATGAACTAGTATTGCTGTGCCCTAACACGAGCTCCCGAACCTCTATATTACTAATATGGTGTGGCCACTGAATTTCAGAAATTTTGTTGGAGACAACATAAAACTTTCTAATAGCTTTAACTCAGAGAGAGTCAACTAACATTCACAGGTCCCGTTTTCACGAGCTTAGAGTAAGACCTCTTACTGACGCATTGTAGACCTCACATTTTACAGCCAGACTAAGGTCACAAAGGCGCCAAAGATGATCCACATTGACATAAGCCACTCTGGCTCTCACGTGAATCAATCTTATTGCACGCAACCCAGATACACGACCTTTTCGACTACTATCTTCTCACTTCCAAGAGTGAGTATTGGTTCAGGCTCCTGGAGGTGTTGTAAAAGTACTTTGCACTTAGAAGGTGCAAAGCACATGTCTTACCTATAGATTGATTAAGTGTGCGTTGTATGGCTCGTGAATCTTCTCGCAGTAAGACAGTATCATCCACATACTTAAGGTTGAAAAGTCTTTCTCCAGGTAACAGATCAACGCCACCATTACTTACATCTCTTAGAGCTGTTCTTAGAAAGCCACTGGTGTCAAAGTTGCAGTGGGATAGTGAAATCAGGCTGTCCTACCTAACTCCACAGCTGAAATCGAACAATCGAAGAAGGTGGTCCTCACTCTGCCTGATGAGAAAGGACAAGATGTAAGTCGTCTAGGGTGGTGATTTGTGGTACTTCGGCAGCTAGAGTTCTTTGAGGAATTCCACCTCGTTAGTTGGATAAGTTGTCAACGGCTATAGAGGACGGGTAGATGATATTGATCGACGTAGCGTCTGCTGTACGGACTGATTTACTCGCAACAAACTTCTTGCTGCCTGCAGCTCGAATGAGTTGAAAGAACTTCCGGCAGGTAACATGTGTAGCTAAATCTTATAATTCATTGGTACCCTCCAACTACCAGCTTTATCAGTTCCTACACAGACTTTGCAATGTTTGATTACGTAACAATTTTCTTTTATCGTCCGGTTGGCGATTAAACGGCGTCGACTAACGTGCCCTAACAAGTTGTAAAAAGGCTGTAGAAACCCACTATTTATAAGCAGGTCGTTTCGTGAAGCAGCGGGCAAATTCGTTCGCCGTTTTCATGGCACATGCAAATGCAACCAATGGTCGTCTATAATTTTCGGTGAGTCGGTAGCTAGCCTTGAACCCAGATCAGTTCGATATTCATTTGCAACAAAAGCTGCAACCAATCCGCTTACATCGATCCGTTGAGGATGATGAATTTCTTGGCTGTCGAAACGTAAGAAAAGATTAGCTCAAGCAAGGGCATGAACAGAGTCTCGATCAGTACTCTAAAATGAGCGGCAGTCTTGTAAACAACCACTCCGGTGGTAGATGATTACGATGTGGTCGATCTGAATACAGGCTTGCGATACGGAGGGAGGAAGCCAGGTAGCACATAAGCGATGACTGTGCCGATAGTCAGTGCTAGTCAGAAACAGGTTATAGGCTGTGAAAAGTTACAGTAGACGATAGCTGTTAACTAATTTAAGACCAAAAAGTCATCATCGGTCACCAAGATGACTCTCCTCTGTGCCTAGATCCCTGAACTGTGCTCCTGTATGCACTAGAACATCTGTCGAACGCACTAACTAGGGTTCACGTAACTGGTGGCGGAACTCATCCTTGATTGCATCCGAACTGCAATTTGTCGGGACGTAAACGAGGATAACGAAAAGGTATCGTTACTCACTTTAATAGAGCTTTCTAAACCAACAACACATGACCGTCTGTTAATGGGGATCCAATGGATTAGCGTTGCCTTGGCTCTTATCATTAGTGTGGCACCGATGTGCATTAAACAAGCTCTTCCAAGCGACATGTGGAGTGAATGTATAGTATATCACATTCGCATTAGCATGCGAACGTTGAAGGAAGCCAGTTTGTATGTCATGCGTGGTTTCAGAATGGCTGCATCAGAATTCGTATTCAGTGCTAGCACTCAACTTTCGACCAATCAGTGACTTGAGATCAGTTAGCTGGACGAAATTTCCTCCAAAGATGAACCGCGGTACAAGTTGACAAATGTGGGAAAACAAGAATTGGAATATAGGAATAAGCAAGCAACAAAGTATTTTTAAAACGAATTTTAGCAAATAATTGAGAGTATAATTTCTGAGATTGAGGATTGGAGCGAACATAAATTTTTCCAGTTATAGCTATTATCAAATTTTTTTCACGTTTGATTCTGTGTTCACTCGTTAATTCTCATTTCCAAAAACTTCTAGTGTAAGCTTAAATAGGGTTTCCAGTATTCTTGGTTTTTCAGTAGTATTCTAATTAAAATTACGATCACACTGAGACCGAGTTTATTATGTTTTTTCATAGATATTTATCATTATTGACGTTAATATTGAAATGTAACAAACCATAATAATGATAATTATATTTATTTTGAAGTATCTGAGAAAGATCTTTATATAAATCTATCTTGATGACAGCAAACCGATCCTCCAATCATCTCATTCCATATGTCAGATAGTTGGTATTTTTCACTTGACCTCATCTCAGTTTTCATATAAATTGCCATGAAAAACGTCGGTTTAAATGAATGCTTCAGTTTTGTGACTTACATTCATTGAAAGTTGGAGCCTGTTATCATTTTCTAAATGAAAAAAAACGATGAGACAACTAACATAACTAATATCGTAAGAGATGGAATATGAAAACACATACAAATACATAACATAACATACATATATACAAGCATACACTATGCCTTGAATATTCTCTATCATTCTGTCCTACTAAATCCCCTTTACTTTCACTTATTTCCCCTTTTTAGAAAATAAAAGATAAATTAATCTGTTAAAAAATGAAGGGAAGAAAAATACTAATTGAAGTCAATACATTGAACCAATTGACAAACTGATGAATGTAAACGTTTCCTTTTCAATCCCCCCAAACAAATTCAGCGAATAAAAAATCAACATTCAACAACTAAGCGTATTGGATTGAAGTAAACGTGAGTTTTATTCGTGCATTCTAATGTTTTTTGAAGAGGGTGGTGAAGGAAGTGATTTTTCTACCAATGATGAACACTATTCAATCCTAGGATGAGTTGAAACGAAATGTAAGTGAAAAAATTACTTCTCTATTCATCTTAGTTACAAAGTGAACTGAACTACATACAGTACCCCTGATCATTATTAATACATACTACAGAAACTGAAAGATAGGTAAGTTTCAAGAAAAAAATACACAGCTTTATTTTCTGAAAACAAGTTAATATCTAGAAGTATAAATTTATCCCTGTGTATTAAACAAACTGTCTTTAAATTTGTCCGTTGAATGTCTATCAACCGATCGATTTCAGACCGCTACTCATGAGATCCTAGCAGAGGAAAAAAAAGGAAGTCAGTCAACAGAGAAGATGAAAAATGAATTGTTTTCGGTGTTAAAATAATATTTTAGCTTCTATTCTCGAGAATATATATATATAAACAAGAGAATACAATAAAGGTAAGATTATGTATTGTATAATATTTATGGTGTTTATTATATAAATTCTAATAATTTAATAAACCTCAAGTAAGGGTAGTCATATGTTAACTGGTCTATGACCTCCATATCATTGTTTATAATTCTAGTAGTAAACTATGGTCAATGAGGTCCACTGCGTGGATTATGAGACACTTTTCATCAGTAATAGTGGATAACGATTGGAAAGTTAGATGAACTTTCAATTTCAAGCAGTTGGTTACCTAAAACGCATTGTGTTTATCAAAGAGACCTTAGTCTATATTACATATTACGAACCAAATTCCCTTTGTTTGATATTAGACATAAATGAATAACTTCAAGAGCTAATTTATTAATTATAATGAAAGTTAAATACATCAGAATTCACATTCAATGGGTTTATTTTAAAAATAAGGAAGAAACAAACAAACAATTATATAATTTCATGTAGGCAAGAAAAATACAATAGAAACTTAAATTAATATGAATGCAGAAACGAAAATAATCGATTTTACTTTTATGAATAGTCAGATTGTAGTGAAATATTAAAATTTACCGGTATATATTTACGGAAGCAAGGCAAAACAGTTAGCCAATTAGCCAATAGTAAACGGTGTATACATCGTGAGTTTCTTCTTCATAATTGATCACAGTATACATTTGGTTTTCTGAATAAATTCATATTGATTGATAATATCGTGTGTCATTATTATATTATAAAATTATATATATATATATATATATATATATATATATATATATATATATATATATCATATATATAATGGGGAAGATAAATTGGCTTTTTCTCAAATTTTAATTATGAGCGAAAAGGTCAACAAGTAAATGTGATATTGCATGAAGGCATTCGATCAAACTAAACAACTTAAACACTAGCAAAATTTCGAATTTTGTACACTTGTCAAGATCGAACTAGTACTAAACCCATTGTCAATAAGCTTTGTAAGTTTTTCCACAAAAATTATTACATGAAGTAATGATTCATTCGTTGACTTCATTCTGATGATAAATAGTGATAGTAATGATAATACTGTGTATAAGGTTTATTATCTATGATCAAGTAATTAAATTTATAATCTGTGAGAAGTATGAGATTAAATTGTAGACTTTAGAAGGAGAATTGTATTTTTTTAATAAAAATCATGTGTATTTGTGAGCTCAATAGATTTTCTAAAGAGAGATTGAATAATACACTAGATCGCTGATGAAATCCCTCCCCGCCTCACAAACCTTGATTACTATAAACTGAAAATTCATCCTTATCAACCTAAATTTTTTTGGAGATTGAAACGGATCTCTTAACCGAAGTTGAGTTTTTTTTAAGTCGCTGAGTATTGCTTCTGATGAATATGTAAACTTCGTGCAAAACACTGCTAGTATGAGTAGAAAATTGTACATCTCCAGTTGTATTGTACTCAGGGAATCGGCTAACAAATAAACTCTATGGGTCACTTGGTGTTGCCATAGAAAAGTCGCTAGTTCTTGTTCAGTATAGGGGAATTCATCAGGGTTGGGTTATAATCTATCTTTCGACTATTATGCTGAAATTAGTCAGTAATAGTAATAGTAATGTCGTTTATTCAACTCTTTTACTGTGAACAATTCAGCTATTTTAAAAATGGCTCAATGAAATGTCAAAAATTATCCCAGAGTTAAAACGATTTCCTGTTACAACAACACAACTATGAAGAGAATTACGTATCGACAACTTTGAGGTGAGAGGATGAAGTTGGAGTAGGCAACTCAATGAATCATACTTCCAGTGATTGATTAATGACAGGCACATTGTCTAATGTAAAAAAAATTTAACAGTTGAGTAGCTTTTTTTAAAGATGAGTTGATTTGCTTCTACTGTAATTTTTTAATATTTATCTAATAACCATATGGATTCCAATAAATTGATCTGTTAAACTGATCCCATATTATAATCGAACAGATTAATTGAGAGATTAAAATAGTTGTTTTCAATTATGAATGAATAATTACCTTGCTCATAACTTAAAACCACTTGTTTAAATTATTGTCGTCTAGTTACATTTTTATTTTATTTCCCTGTTTGCATGTACTTAGGGTTTATGATATAAATTACTTAAAATTAATTAAACTTTAAACGTGATTTATGTCACATATTATTCAACTATAACTGTACTTAATGAAACTTATTAATCTATACTTCAATTGTTGAACACGTATACATGTTAAGTAATAGCGTACTAAAGAGTCCCAGATTAGATCCTTCTTTCACCTCATTCAATTTGGCATTCTTGTAACAGCATCACCTCCTAGATGACCGACGTGACTAAAGGTCAAATACATAGATTTACAGTGAGTTATATATATATATATATATATATATATATATATATATGCATATATATATATACATATATATATATATATATATATAAATCTTTCGAATGAATTCAAACTAGATTGAATTTATCCGAATTCTTTCTATGTGGGCTAATTTTTATTTGCATGTTTCTTGCAAGCCTTAATCATCAACCACTTTATACAAAACCTTTGTGTTTTTTATCATAAAAATATCATAGCATAAAAAAACTAGTCCTAATTGATTCTTGATAAAAGATTCTCAAAATAAATATGCGTCTGTAAACAATACAATCAAATGGAAAACATCATGTTACACAACATCAGTGTACTCAATACATACAGGTTTATCTGATAAATTTTTACACTTGAAATAGCTTCCAGCATGGAATTAAAATCAATTGAAAAACTGATTTGTACTAAAGGGGATTAGTGTATTATTTTGATCTTGTGAAAAAAATGAACACAACAGTTTCTAGTCATATAGCTTAAGATACAGTTATGAAATTACTAAGGTGGAGATATGTTAAAGTGGTTTCTTCTAAAGTTCATCACCATTAAATGTATGCACAGATTATGTTAAACACACACACAAAGAAATTAGACAACATGATTAACAGTCTAATTACCAGTAGAAAAATGTAATTTTTGGGAACAAAAAGATTAGTCAATGATATTTCTATAATATTTATTGGTATAAACCAGCACAAATATGGAATATGTTAATTTAAGCAAAATTAATCAAACTCACTTCATCGTACAATGCTTCTTATTCATGTTTTACAAGCGTAATTATGATTTCTATACGATGTATGATCTCATTCATGTGCAAATAGACAGATCGCCTGCTGGATAAAGCAAACTAATTTTAAAACAATAAGAAGACGGAATTGTGTAATTCCTGATGTTTATTTTTACGATAGTTTTTCAGGTGTTAGAAGTATGATGACAACTTACTGACAGCACTTAATGAGTATCATAAGCTGTCATAAGCTGGTTTATTTCAAATCACTGATCCAATTGAAACCTTCAAAATTATGACACTTAATTTTCCTTGGTTTAATCTTGTATTCGGTCAAAGTTTAAACCTTTTAAAGCTTCAGTCACTGAGTTTTAATCGTTGATGTCTATTAATATGTTAAATTTATTCAGTTTTTGAGAAGTTCGACATTCTAATGTTAAACTTAATAAACCTACGAATTTTCTTGAAATCGGGTTTTTTTTTATTTAAGAAACAGAAATGTTTAAAATATGTTTTTTTTATCTCATACCAAACTTATAGTCTATTTTTTTCACTTTTTATTATAATTCAGCTTTGACTATTAATTGAATAGTTAACATCACACAGTAATCTTAGTCGAACGGTTGTTTAAAACCTGAAAACACAGTGTTTCTAGGTTTCCAACAGCTATCTAACTTAGATCCATGAGGTTAACTATGAAATTCGAAATATCTCGATAAACTCTCTATAGCTTCTAACCCTTATTTTATTCAAACATGTAGTTGTTACTAGACACCATATTATACAGATTAATGATGAAACACTACAAAATGGGATTAATATCAGACATCTAAAGGTAGGTTGATGAAATTTATTCACATTTTTTAACATTGCTATTTAACACTGTGACATTATAGCTGTGTAAATGAACGATTTCATATTCATCTAACATCCAACTCCATGCATCATATTACTCTACGTGTACTCTGTATGGTTACACGCTGATAGAAGTTAGGAAACACATCTACCATCTAGTCAATAGTGAGCACTGCTGAAGAATTCTAAAGCAAAACAAAACTGTTCTTCAATGATCCGTTTTCGAAAATGGTTTCTAAGTGGTGTCAGCATTTAGTAAAATGTGAATAATTTCTAACGTTTAAATGAAATCTTTATTACTTTTTTATAGTGATTATTGTTTGAATTATTTGAATCTGCACTGGAAGTAGAGGGGAAACATACCCACAAGTAAACACACATGTTTTACAAATTTACACCAGTAAATTAAGGGAAATGAATGTGGATCAAACCCCCAGGTAACACATAACTCAGGGACAGAACTCAGCGCCCGTCTTGTGATAGTTGTTTGAACACTGAATTTCTGTCTATTAACATTCTAGTATTACAGTTCCAAAATACGATCAGGTATTTTATTGACCTATGCCGTTTAATCTGTAAGATTATTAATGATTAGTCGAATTGGAATAATAAGAACAGGCTAATGAATCAAAGAGTTATACAGTATACTTCAGATACTAAAAAGGAATGTATACGTTTTACTTAGCCACCTGTCGGATATGAATGTATATATTGGCAGGATTCAAAATAATTGGCGTTTTGATTATTCAGATGGTAATTCTATACCACTGGCCTTTCATCTAGGCACATATACTAACTAGTTAGAGCTGTGGTTCCTCTCATACTGAACAGGACTATCACAGAAACAACCTAGCTGTATACATATATATATATATATATATATATATATATATCATAAATTGGTGTAAGTCGGCACTGTGAACTATCGAATGTCACGTCCGTGATTTATAGTTTCCCCTATTTCTATGCAAATTACCGTTCTGTATTCAACTTCTAGGTGTATATTACTGATCAGTCTCATACTGTCCAGCTCTCATCAACCTTAAAACACATTCTACTATTTTGGAAAACACTTTGAATGGAATCTTGAAAACAATTTTCTTAAATGTTGCTTGATTAATAACTTCTTATTTTTTCAATTTTTTAAACATATAGGCAATGCCATTTCAGAAAAGGTTGATCAAAATTCAGCAATGTTAATGTTATTTTAAGTTAGACTAAGCAACTTACGACCACAATATATATTCAATTGAAATCAAATATTTTCATTATGGAGTTATGCATACTGTCGAGTTTCATTGAAATTATGATTCGATCATAATAGGACGAGACAGCCGTTCAATGCTTCCAGGTTTCTGACGGTGGTCTAACAATGATCGAATCATAATTTCGATGAAATCGAAATTCCTAAAATGTAAGCAATAGATAGTAAAATAGTAAACAAATGAATTTTCACGTGATTACATCAAGGTCAAATGCCTTTGAAATTATGGTTCTGGTTGATAAAACTTACTATTATGACTATAACTGCTGCAGTCGATCAACACTCATACAGATAGATGAACCTCTTCACACTGACATGTCTCAAAAGGTATTATTTTTCCCAAAAATAATTTTAAGATGTAATTATTTTAATTAGTTTTTTTTCTAACGATACTTATTGGATAAATTAATGTCACAAATATTTGTTCCTATTTTCAGCAATAATCATGACAGGTTTTGAAGCATTCAAACAGACATTTATGTCTAAAATTAACGAACCGAATTCACAACGTCGTATGGTTTTATTTGTTGTTTGTATTGCTTTACTATTAGACAACATGTTATACATGGTTATAGTACCAATTATTCCTGATTATTTGCAAAATCTACGTGCAATGGATACAAAACAAATTTACTGGATTAATGCAACACATAGTAAACGATTGAAAGATGAGAATTTTATTTTTAATAAATCCGATGGTGATTACAAATTAAAATGGCTTGTTCATCAATCTGAAACTAAAATTGGCACATTGTTTGCATTTAAAGCTATCATACAATTATTATGTAACCCTATATCAGGAACTGTCATTGATCGCATTGGTTATGATGTCCCAATGATGTTTGGTTTATGCATAATTTTTTTGTCAACTTCAGTATTTGCATTCGGTAGTTCGTATGGATTAATGTTTATTGCTAGAGGCTTACAAGGTATGGGTTCAGCGTTTGCCGATACCGCCGGTTTAGCAATGATCGCTGATCGTTATACTGATGAATATGAGCGTACAAAAGCATTGGGAATAGCTTTAGCATTCATATCATTCGGTTCATTGGTAGCACCTCCATTCGGTGGAATAGTTTATCAATATTTTGGCAAAGAATTACCATTTATTACACTGGCATTTATAGCACTTTTTGATGGTTGTTTACTATTGATTATTATGCAACCAGTAAGAATTGAACGAACAGTTTTAAAAACTCAGGGTAATCTACCTAAAGGAACTCCAATACATCGTTTATTAATGGATCCTTACATTGCTATATGTGCAGGATGTTTGACTGTAGCTAATATATCACTCGCATTCTTAGAACCAACTATATCAAACTGGATGTCAAAAAGTATGAAAGCAACAAATGCACAAGAAGGTTTAGTATGGTTACCAGCATTTCTGCCACATGTAGCTGGAGTTATAACAACCATTAAATTAGCTGATAAGTATCCAAGTAAACAATGGTTAATGGCTGCAGTTGGTCTAGCTATTGAAGGTGGAAGTTGTTTCTTAATACCATTCTGTACTAATTTTATTGCATTAATGATTCCTATTAGTATTTTATGTTATGGGATTGCATTGGTTGATACAGCAATATTACCTACAATGGGTTTTCTTGTAGATACACGTCATGTTTCAGTTTATGGTTCAGTGTATGCAATTGCTGATATCTCATATAGTTTAGCTTACGCTTTGGGACCAATTGTAGCTGGTGGACTTGTGGACACCATTAAATTTATTGGACTCAATATTGTGATGACATTGATCACTTTAGGATATGTACCAGTTATGTATCTATTACGTAATTGTTATAATGTTGAAAGACCACACGGCAGAGACATGCCTCCGTCGAAAATCGATACGATCGATCATTCCTTAGATCAAGATGAGTATGCATCGATTAAAAGTTATCCAGGTTATGAACAAAATTCCACAATCAAAGGTGAACTGAATCATCATTATCAACAACAACAACAACAACAACATCTACATCATCATCCTGTGAATCCTACCAATCAATATAACTATCAGTCAACACCGGCCTATGAACAAGATGGTAAATTGTTAACTCAACGAACAGATTATGCTTATTGACGATTTTCATTAGTCACTTTAAAAAAAAAAAACAATAAAATTTGTTTCGACTACATTGAATTATAATAAATGTTGCTAGAAAAGACATTTATCATTATTAAAAGAAAAAGAAGTTTATCATACTACTACAATTCAACAGATGTGATAAACAACAACAACAACACATTTCCACATATACACGACGCAATCATTGTGACTTTTCAATGTGACACAAGCAGACACACAGTTAACTTTGTTTGACACAATTTGTTTCTTCTCTACTAGAGAATAGGGAACTTGTTTTTTTCTTCTTCTTCTTCTTTCAATCAACACTATTTACTCACTACGTAATCACCTACTACTTTATTCACTGAACTATTTAAATATATATTGTAATTTATCAGTTTCAGTTCTGCTTTCATTTCACCAACACCAATGCAAACAAATTTTCGAAAGAGAGAGAGAGAAAAAAATAATTTTAAGCATTGAAATGCATAAATCTCTCTCTCTCTCTATTTATTTATAATATTACTTTATTTTATGTACATCTGCATAGTTCTGTGCAAATCGCATATATATATGTATGGAATTAGCTTCTCAGTGTTAGTGTCCAAATTAAACATTTCTTACTTTATTTGTGAATGAAATAGTCTGTTCGTTTGTTTGTTTTTTTTCGTTATCTGCATTATCTAATATTTTACTTTTATTTATTTTTGTCATAAATTATAATTACTGGAAGTGATGAAGAGAAAAAATTGATGCTAAAGAATAAAATATATGAAATTGTATAAATGAATCACTAATGCTCTTTTCACTTGCCTGTTTGTCACGGCTGTTGTCGTTGTTTCATCATGATGTTGGTTGGTTGGTAATTTGGGTTACATTCTGTAACCAGTGACTGACTGATTGATTGATTGATTGATTGATTGAACGTACTTTATTCTGATTTCATCATGTCCTATCTGTTCGTTTGCCTGATTGAAGGTTTATGATTTAAATAAAATACATACTATGTTATTACTATGATGTGAAATCTATTTTTAAAAGTAAAAGTGTTGTTGTTCAATAGTAATTTATTTAATGATTGACTGTTAACAGAATTTTGTACTGTATTACAATGATAATCAACGACATAAAGCTGTAAGAGGAATTCGATCGATATACGGAATGTATATTGTGTTGAAGTGTGTGATAATCTAGGTTATATTTTCTTCAACTTTTGAGTATTTTCAAAAGTATGATTATCATTTAACTATTAGAAAATCAAACGCTAATTTACTATTCTTAAAGTCATTAAGATTCATCAAACTATTGTACGGATTTCTGACTAACATTGTTGAAATTTTTTTATGTTGTTAGAAAGTGTTATTATTGTTGTTTAAATGAATAAAATACAATATTCATTTTTCCTTATATTATAGCCGCTTAAATGTCTCATCCAATAAAAGAATTTGTCAGACGACTATCTAATCTAGATATTGAACGATATCCAGAATGGGATTTATCTGTAAGTTTTATATGATTTGTATCAATGCAATGTGTTCATTCAATAACTAGATGATGAATATTTGGGTTATTTCCGGCAATTTGTAATCTCAGCCTATTTTGAAGCAATATTGACAGTATTGACAAGATAAGTCATGCGTTGTTACAAGTTGAGATCGGAATGTGATGCAATCATTTGTATCTTTCAAATGACTTGTATATAAATTAATCAGCTGTAAAACTATAAAAAACTTGAAAGCTCAGTTTTGCATTTGCCAAAGTACTTCTGAAGTGTCAGTTGTCAACATCACTGTATTCAAAAACCATTCATAAATGAGTAAATGTCTAACAGGCGGTAATTTACACTAAAAATCTCTAAAGGTTACATAGTTTATTTTTAGATTGATATAAAATAATGATATATTTGTTATAAATCTAAGAGAGTTTAAGATCGGTCAAGTGTTTGTATCCATACAGAATGTTACAAATATGTAATTTAAACAATCAATTTGAACATTGATAATAATTTTAGACTAAACTGAAAGTGACTAATGAAAGTGTAAGTGTAATCAATCTTTTTTATTGTATTTTTCTACTCCTTACTCTAAATAAGACCTTATTAAACTAACATAATTTCAAACTATACTAGTTAGTCTCTTTGTGGTAACCGATTCCATTTTGTGTGGTTCGTGGCTTTAACTAAGTTTTATCAATAAAATTTCTCTATGGACACAAGTTTAAGTTACTTGACATCACAATGAATATTGTTTCACTATCATTTAGCGACTGATTGGTTTAAGTAAATCATCTGCAACTTCCGTAGCTCATTCATTATTCAGAACTAAAGCGGTGACACTAATAAAAAGGATCCTATAAATACTCAATACTTCGACACACTGTATTAAATAAAACTATGCCAAATGAACTATTCACACAAAAATTAGAAAAAAAAAGAAAATGTGAATGGCTACATAGAGATTAATTGGAAAAAACAAAGAATTTTCGTTATAGTGGAAAGTTATAATGAAGTAGTTGAATGTTTTTTTTCGTAGAATTACACCTTTTCAGTTCATTTTGAATTATTTTTAATTAATGTGTGTTATGTATTTAGGATACAATAATTTTCCCAAGAGAAAAATGTAAAGTAAGATTGAAAGCTTATTGTTTTGAGTATTAAGTAGGGTATTTTTGTGATTGTGGTCAAAACCTATATACATGTATGATCTGAAATTCTTTAAACGATTTGATATTGTAAAATAAGCTTTAAGTTCGGTGACAGTAACAGATGAAATATCGATATATATTTGGATGTTTAAATTCCAAATTCTCAGAGTCAGAGTCAGATGCAACGTAGAGCTTCGTACGTAAGTACATCAGTTCATGTCGCCATACCACATTAGCACAGAGATATAATTGTCAATTCAAATCCCATAGTAGAAGAGGTAGTAAGGGTATTGGCAGTAGTCAGAGAGATTAGGATTAGAAGATATTATTCAAGAAGTATGATTCAGTTAGATAAGTTTAGAAAGACAAAACTTGAGGTGTTGAATAATCCAGAAGATTAGGATTTGCGAGAACACAAAGAATAAATGCACCGGCGCCATCGCATACGGTTTTGAGACATGTCATTCAGGGTTTTTAACCATCGATTATTATCATCTCGCGGACCCAAACCAGGTAGCCGACAACTACCAACATGACTCAGTCCACCTGTCAGTGACTTCATGGATTGCTGTTATGTTTTGGTCTGTCCGCCCATAACTTTCTTCCAACCTACTCCTACACTACAAAACAAAGCTCGTCGAGGTAGTCGGTGGTTAGGCATACGCAGCATATGTCCCAACCACCTCAACTGATGAAGTTTCATTACTTCACCTATTGATCAGCCATTCTTATCTAGTACCCGTTTCCTAATAACAGCGTTTCTTACTCAGTTATCCCAGGATATACGATTCTGTGCACTGTAAATTACATTACCTTTAATAGCTTTTTCCCGGTTTCCACATTGCAAAATTAATAATGAAGAGAATTTCGGTATTTTGCACTGACTAGTCATAAATCTTATATTGTCCTTCAATTGTATTTCAACAAAACCATGTGCCTGGTTGACACAAAATAGTTGAATTTCACACATGGTCTGATCAAACTAGTGGTAATATCTCTCATAGCTACTTTGTACAATTTCATTGTAAATCTTCATTCAAATATTATTTTCTCAAAGTTCAGAATTTTGTTCTACATGTTACCTATGAATCACTAAAGCAAAGTCAACCAAATTTTCACATCATCTGTCTCAAGCTAAATTATTATTATGTCCTTATACTGTATTACTTGACCATGTTTACTTTAAAAAAGTAAGGCGTCTTCTTAATGCTCAAATGTAAATAAACGCTTGATTAATTAGGCAGTCAATAGGCGTGAGTTCATGCAACTTGCCTGTTTTATCAATCACAGGTAGAACCAATGGAATTGATCTCACTTTTCCAAGTTTCAAAAATGTATATTCATTATTGTTTAACTCTTTAATAAATTAATTTAGTTCAATATCTCAATTATTTGCAAAACGTGAATGCCAGATTGATTAAAACAGAAAATCTCAAGCATTCATGATTAAAAAAAACAAATTATTTCACCAGCTCCAGAAATCGAATGGCTATTCTGGTCACATTTAAACTTAATCCTGTGATCACTTACAACTAATTACATTTCGGAACAGTCATGATTTTGTTATTCATTCTAATCTCTTCGCACTGATCAAGTTCTTCTTCCAAACTAGTTTGAAACAATGATGGACAATTCAGAAATAAAATTTTACAATTTTCTGGAAACCCCTACTTCTTACACTAAAATATATTGCGTGAAACAGAGACTAATTAAACGTATTCTTTTATGAATTCACTTAAAGAATCTTACATTATTGTTTGGACAATTGAAGTTGCTTTCCTGCGAAATATTACCATTATGTGACTCCTATCGAAAATGTAACACTCAGTTTTATATGTCTATTCGAAAATGGCAATGAACGTCTTAAAGTGCATTTATTTCATAATCATATTCATGACAATGAAATAACTTGTTGTTTAGTAATCTGAAAAACTTGACATTTCTTCGTCAAACATATGGATCCTTTATAGAATCAAACACAAGAAACCATTTTAAATAGTCAAAAATACATTATTCATGCCTTGAAAGAAGTTATTCCTAATGCATAGGACTTGTCTTGAGACTTGAGTTTATATAATGAGTTGTTATTAAATCGTTTTGATGATCTTGTCTAAACTAACCAAGATTTTTTTTATCTTATATAGTTATGTATTACTAAAAAATGAGTTTTGATTTTCCAAGTCGCTTCTGATAATATCATTTCCCAATGAAAAGTACCATAAAGATTTCATTTAACTGTGGCTTTGTTTCAGCTTCGCCTTACATTCAATTCTCAATAGTTTTTTCAATGAATAGCTTTCGTTTTTTTTTTAGAAAGTATACTCATCATCATCATCATCATCATCATCATCATCATATTTTAATGATTTTTCTCATTTCCTCCACATATACATGTAGAAACCACTTCCTAGATTACCGGTTCCAGATCTACGTAATACATTAGATAGATATTTACGATTAATAGCACCAGTTGTTTCAAAAGAAGATTTTCAACGAACTAAATTGTTAGTTGAAGAATTTGGCAAACCAGGTGGTGAAGGAGAAGAATTACAAAATTTACTTAAAGCATATGCAATGACTAAAGTTAACTGGGTATGTTACACAAAGACACTTTCATCAGTCTGCGTTTTGTTTTAAAATTTTGAAACTTATTTTTATCAGACAGAACTGAAAAATAATTTATGATTAGTTAGTGGAGAGTTGCTGTTTATTTGCATATTCCATTATTCTTGTTTGTAAAACCGTTAACGCTTGTTCTTGATAACTATTTTTTATCAGGCTATGAAGTTATAAATTCAAAATTAGTATTATATTAAAAAATGTTGGAGTTGAGTTTAGTCTTAAATATAACAAAATACCGCCAATAGAAAAAACATCAATGGTAGTACCGTCTTACATAAAGGATAGAAAAAATTACATGGCTCTAGATGATGAGCTTTAAGCAATAAGTTAATATCGTTATTCAGAAATATTTAATACAAAACAGTAGTCACAATCACAAGTCATCATCAATAAAGTCCAACTATGTTCCCAGGTAGTGAAAAAGGGTTTCACATTAGCGTGACCTGGTTGAAGTTAGGTATTAACCCAGTTGGATTTATACTCAGTACTCTAAAGTTTAAGAGTTAGTGCATCAGACCGAAGGTTCTGGATTTGATTTCAGGGCCAAGGGACATGCTTGAGAACTATTGAGAACGGTTGTCCAGTACTTCTAGTTTTTTCGTAATTTTCTAGCCGAGACTGGACTATGATTCAGTTCAAGAAAATAGCAAGTTTTGTCTTAGTTATCAAGATCATAATAATGTCATTGCCAATTTTGAAAATACTAACTCTTCATGAAGTCCTTTTACAGATGTATTTAGTTAAAGTCGATGAAATCAAGTTAACTTGCAGTTTTTAGGGCTTTGTTTGATTCTTTGAGATTTAAAATACCACCAACCAGGAGATAAAAAACTGAGGATCAAAACTTAGTGTAGCATCTGTTCAACTGATTTCAATGATGAAAAATTTATCTCATTTTATCATGGTATTAAATCATTTAGTTGTTTGTATATACCATAAAACTGGTGACTAAAACTAGACCAAGACAGAAAACCGAATTACACGATGCGAAAATGTAACTACTGAATAACAAGTTTAATCTAACTACCTTCCTAATAACATAGGATATTAGTGTAGTGTTTTCTGTTTTCCTTACTAATTATTCGATTATATTTTCTTCATACCCGAAACTATATGGAACTGTAAATATAGGGCTGGTGGATATTGGAATTCTTAATAATATCGCAAACCGATTTAAGTTAGATAACCATTGAAAACTTGGAAGCACTGAATAGCTGTTTCATCCTAGTGTTAGACTTCTTAGAAGTGTCTATTCAAGGCCACGTCACCGACGATCAAAATAAGGACTTAGGACCTCTTACGTGAACGCTTAACTTCTAAACACCCTAACCCAGATCCACTGGTTATAAACGTTTAACTTCAATCAATCCTCAGTGCTGTGAAGCCATTTTCCTTTGTCTCCGGTTTACTTCCAATGGTCACCGCTTCTCGCTGAGATTGGAAATTTCCTCTCTAAGCTAGTCACCAATGAGTAAACTGTAATTACAATGATGGAGTTAGTCAGCACTGTTGAATTTTTTATTGAAATCACCACAACCAATCTAAGTTATATGACCATTGAACTGTTTTGAAAGAATGAGGCATTCAAAATAAGTGATTTTCTTGACCAAATCAAATGTAAGAATTCATAGCTGAGAAAATAACTAATACACTACTTCAATTGATTCTGTCACATAAAACATCTGATATACTTGTAATCATAGTGCATTGATGGACTAACACTACAATTTTTATTCTCATTTAATTTATAAAGTTTATATTTGTAATAGACATTTTTCTTTCTTAAAGAAAAAATCATCATTTTCCAAATTTTATTTTTATTATAAGGAAAAAAAATGAGAGGTAGAGAGAGAGAGAGAGGAAGAAGACATTACTTTATTTTTCATCAACCTATCTGCCCGGGTTTCTTTCTCTAGTTGATATTTCCATTAGTTATTTATTCTTTCTACCTATCTTTCGTTTCTTTTGTTACTACTTATTTGCAAAGAATGAATATCTCTTCGATGATAATGTTGATGATGATGTTGATGATCAATGTTAAATGCACCTGTAACTATTCCCATACGCAATTATCTACATTCTATAGTTGTTTTTTTTTGTTCTCACAGATGCGAACACTCAATTCATTACTCATTTATAGTCATGTTTTAAGAGTAGAGAGAAAAATGGGAATAGAATAGAATTTAATTATCTATTGTTGCTCAATACATCATATTTGTTTTATTTTGCTGCGTTACTTTTTTTTTTTTTAAAAAAAACAAACCTTAGCTTATCTTATCAAATGATTTAAAACAAAATTTACTTGTTTTACTCTATATGCGTAACTTAGTTACTGTCTCCTTATTATTAACTATGTTACGCTTAAAAAATTTATGCATTTTAGGTGACCGAATGGTGGTTAGATGATATGTATTTACTAAATCCTGCACCATTGCCAATTAATTCTAGTCCAGGAATGGTATTTCCACGTCATTCTTTTATTAATACAAGACAACAGCTAAGGTAAGATGCAATGGTTTTTACTTAAGTGTCATATATTTATGTATATCTTACATAAGTTTAGGAAGGCTTCAAATTTGTCGACTAGTAATGAAAAGCGTACTGACGGTTTACTGAACACTTTCGACACCCTTGTGTGATGTGTATGATTCTCTTTATGCTCCTTAGCTTCATGGTTACTTACCAGTGACTATTGGAAAATCGATAATATTTAGAAAAAAGTAATGGAAGCTGATCATTGTGGAGCAATCAGTTGAATGGAACTCACCACTCTACATCAACTTCATCGACTACGAGAAAGCATTCGATAGCGTGGATAGGAAAACACTGTGGAGGCTTCTTCGACACAACGGTGTGCCTGAGAAAATAGTTAACATCATATGCAATTTGAAAGGTGGATCCGATGCAGATGTGAGGGCGCCGATCGGCAGAGCAAGGGCTGCATTTCTACAGTTGAAAAATATCTGGAACTCCAAACAACTTTCAAACATAACCAAAATCAGGATTTTCAATACAAATGTCAAGACAGTTCTACTGCGTGGAACGGAAACTTGGAGAACTACCAAAGCTGTCATCCAGAAGATACAAGTCTTCATTAACAGTTGTCTACGCAAAATACTTCGTATTCGTTGGCCAGATACCATCTACAACAATCTACTGTTACAGAGAACAAATCAGATTCCAGTGGAGGAGGAAATGAGGAAGAATCGGTGGAAGTGGATAGGACACACACTACGAAAAGCACCTGACGCAGTCAGAAGACAAGCCCTCACATGGAACCCTCAAGGTAAAAGAAAAAGAAGAAGGCCAAAGAACACATTACGCTGAGAAATAGAGACAGACATGAGGAGAATGGACAAACATTGGACAGAACTGGAAAGGGAAGCCCAGGACAGAGTTGGTTAGAGAATAATGGTGGGTGGCCTATGCTCCATTGGGGATAACAGGCGTTAGTAAGTAAGTAAGTAAGTAATGGAAGCTAATCAAATCTGAGTGAACAGAAAATCGAAATTTCTCATATCACTGCTAATCACTAGCGTTTAATACTTATGTATGATAGTTCTTGTATAAAAAATTGTTTCACTTATGATTCCTCTACTACTTTCATCTTCGTGTCGTAATATCTATGCATCATAATTCATCTTTCAAGTAAACTAGTCTTCAATCTTGTGCACTTTGCTTAAATTCATTTAATTTTGTTCCTAGTTTGTTTTTAATTGCCTTTCTTAGTCCCATCACCCAGAGTATGAGTTTTTTTCTGAATGTGTAGAACAATGCAAAACAATATGAAACACCTAGTTCTAACTATTGTTGTTGTTGTTTTTTGTTTATTATTATTGCCTTCATTTCATTGAATTGTTTTGTTACATGTCTTAACATAAAGACTTCATGTTTATTGAGTTCAGAGATTCATAGATACGTTCACGACCTTTCACCTTAAACAATACATCTTTCTCACTAAGTTAGACAACAATAGAATGGGTGAGAAAAAAGACAAAAAAAAACGAAAAATAGGTAAAAAGGAAAAAAGCTAAACAAAAAAGAACAATTTAAAATTAATTAACTAGTGTTATGTCACAATTTACTTTTCTTTCATACAAAACTAACTAAATAAATAATTGAAATTTTGTGCAAAAATAATTGTCATAGAAGTTTCAAGTTACTAATTTAGTAGGAATCATTAAACTAATGTTTGTTCTATTAATGTGAATTGATGCAAAGTAGTTCCCCTAAGAAAGCATAATTATGCAAATGCTCTTGGTCGCTGTAATTTAATGGAAATCAATGTGTAATGTCGAATTTAATTGATAAACTCGTGAATATAATCAACAGAGGTGATCAGTCAAAAGATTAACAGTTCATTGTTAAAATTCCCTGACTGTAACATTGCGTAACATGAGTTTGAACCCCATAGAAATTACAGACATGCCGTATTGACGAGCACCAGTTAGTGCGAAATATCACCCTGACACTTTTAGTTGATTGCATTTCATCTCAATAGCCACGGTAGTTTTCAGCAAAGATGCTATACATTTAAAAGTAAACAGTTAGATGCATTAGGCTGTGAGCTACAACCGTTTTGTATAGGTTATTCTTAATAGCAATATTAGACAAAAAAAAGCTAGAATCCAAAGTGCTTATATAATGAGCACAAATTGTGCCTAGATTGAAGAGTTGGATGCCTACCTTCAGTCCTTTAGATGTCTTGATTTATCATCAGAATATTTGCGTTACTTTCGATAAAATAAAGGCGATTTGTTAAATATTAAAGTATGAACAGTACTATTCATAAGTGTACAGGAGTCAGTTATAGTAAGAGCATATCTACGTAACTACAGCAGCGTAAAGTTGACCGATTTCTGTTGATTTAACCGATGAAATTGAATACATACAAGCATAATACAACTGACGCACTTATCAAATGCAGTAACAAACATATTGTGCATAGTTATTGGATCTGTAGTTCTTGGTAATAAAATGTACCAAGATTCAACATATCCTGAATAAAACATTCGAATTATTTAAATTTCAATCTCTGAGATTATTGTAAACATAATTTTCAGTAATAATGTTTCATTTTAGTTTAGAAATTCATAAAAATATATACTAACTAGATTTATATAGAATTAAGTTTTCAGATGGCGCTAACTGAACATTTAGACTTAATACTCTACGTGAATTTTTTGTAGAATTTACTCATGAACTATTATAGACTAAAATCTTTAAACCAATTAATCGAAGTTACTTAATAGTTTAAGGCTTTGCAAGATCAGAGATCATACTTTAATAGTAACATGATATTTGGCTCGAAATAACATTCTTTCTAATTTATTTAACATACTGCCCGCTTAGAATAACATGCAGCATCTGTTTAAACCAGTTTAGTGAAAAAGGTGTTTCATTTTTTTTCGCCTCAATTGTATATCATATTCATTGACTAAACATCAAAGGCTCGTAAAATTGGTGCAAAAATGAGCACCTTTGAAGGTAAGAATTCTTAGTTGGTTAAAAATCAAGAGAATAATATAGGAGTATCTTGTATTCTACAAAAATAAGAGAAATATGTTCTAAAAAGAATCTAGTCAAAAGTGTCATCACTTTGCTATCGTTATCTTATGAGAATAGCATATCATTTCGTTGGGGATGGTGATAAGACTAGTAAGAATGTAACCCGGTAGTCAGGTACCAATCCCATTGGAAAGTGAAATACCTAAAGTTTCCATTTTCTTTCAATGTTTATTCATCAAAACACTTCTTATCGGTGAATATTTTGTTTGTATGCATTTTATTTTGCTTGACAAGGAAACCTATTCTCCTTTCCAACTAATTTATCTTTGATCTCAAAGCATTCGGAGCTTAAAATTAGTAATTTGATTTTGAAAGCAGCTATCACCCGACCGTACTGTGTCATTGCATATAATCGATTGACCAGTATTCTTTCCTTTTATTTTGATAAATAAATAACCCTTTATAAAATCCTACTCCATTACAGGTTGATTCACGGTGTCCTGTCGACTAACTCCAACCACTTGACATTAAAATATAGTGCATACGATGTTGAGACACTTAGACTAGTGAGTATAATGTAAGTTGATCTATAGAATTTGACTACCACCAAGGACTAGACAAATATGATATTGGTCCATTATACCATCATGATCAATCAATGCAAATATTGGTCATTTTTACAAATAAAATTCTAGTTCTCAGGTCATCAGTCTATCAAAATATCAAAAAGTTGTTACATTTGAATAACTGACCTCAATGAAATAGACATCTTATCTTTATAAATATTGATACTCAAGTGAAATCAAAGATTAGAGACATTTTTCACTCGTACTTACTAAGTCTCTATAAAATCATCTCATGTGATAGTTGTCATTTTCTTATAAGCAACTGATCATGAATGTAAAATTAAGGAATCTATTTAGTTGGTTAAATGGATGATGCAACAGGAAATCATCAACACAACAGTCCTACTATCACAAACTATGACTAACTACGACTAAAAAGAACACTTAAAAACTTTTGTCCTCACTGTTTGTTGTAAACACCATCAACTGTGCACACTGTTAATTAGTTCCAAAGTATAAAAAAAATGGCTTCTATGTCCCTGTTTCAAGTTTCAAGTATTATGTTACAACAAAAAGTATCACCAACTTTAGAGTTAAAACATACAAAGTATTCTTTACTTTCTAAAAAAAGGATGCATCAGTTTATCTAGCCAACTATTATTATTATTATTGAATTTTGTTGATAGAAAATAAATATCAATTTTCTCTTTTGCCTTTACCTACTACTAATTTGCATTGAAGAAGAAAAAGAAATAAAAAAAATCTAATTCTATTCATAATGATATTCGTCTTTTACTTCCTCTTCTTCTTCTGTTTTTTTTTTCTGTTCTCTTGCATTACTACTTACAAACTTTTCCCGGTAAATAAAATTAGACTAAGTTTACTGTGTATGCATGCATGTAATTTTGGTACACACATTATATACGTATATACGTATATATATATGTATATAATATAATTGCCCTAAGGATAGTTAGTACCAAGTAATACAAAAATCATTCATTTTCACAATGAACTGCCCTCTTCTTTCAACAGCCTTACATCAAGTTTAATTTTGGTTTTTTTTTTCATTAGCTAAATAAGTACTGATGATAAATAAATACATAGACAGATAGATAAATAGATGGATAGATAGGCAGGTAGGTAGATAAATAGATAGATAGATAAGAAGAAATTCAGTAGAAAACTTGTTTGTATTTATTTAAGCATGTAATATCAGTGGGTGTGTGTGTGTGTGTGTGTGGGTTAAACAAAAATACAGAGAGACAGTCCCAGTAATTCAGTAATATACTAATCTAATTTGTAAATTCACCTTAGTTAGCTCAATTAGGTTTTTCTTTTTTTTTTTTTATATTCAGTAAACTGAAGAAAGTCTGCCTAAAAAAAAGAAAAAATTATTAGCGCCAATTGCATTATTATAAAAAAAGTGTTTTGTTATGTTTCTTTGCATATATTCGGAAAATGCTTATCTTGACTGCAGTCAATAAATTATTTTCTCCTATTTGAATCAATCATTTTTTTTTACCGGATTCGTTTTATGTGTGTGTTTCTCATTGTATCATCACCATCAATGTTTATCTACTTGTCCCACTTACTCTATCTAATTGAACATTCAATTACTCGGCCAGTCAACACTACCCTTTAATGATGATACAATATATACAAGTGTATTACGTTGTTATTTCGTTGATGAATGTTCCATGCATTAAAATCCTTTTTTTGTTTCATACCAGTGTACTGTGACTGCCTAGTAAGACTGACAATCGGCTTCACAAAGCAAAGAGATCAATGATTCACATTGACAATTTTTTTTTTATACATAATTGCGGTTCATAGTTATTTGTTGTTAATAGTAAATTAACTCAATAACTGTAAAATTATTAAATCGTGTTTTTGTCAAGAATGAGCTATTTTTTTTTTAAAGTTTCGAATATTCGTTATGAAGAAGAAGCTAATTGATTTGTTACTTTTATTATGGATCAATCTATAAATTTAATTGATATGAGTTGTTGTTGTTGTTGTACTATTGAACAGCGAGTATATTGAATAATCCTCAGGAAATTAGTTTTCTTGTTCAATAAGTATCATAGTCAGCTAATACCAAACGGAATAATAATATTACTGCCAGTAAATATCATGAAATTATGTGATCATGCTTTGTGAAATATTTCTACTTAGTAATCCGGACAAATTCACTTCTATCCATTGACCTTACGGCTGTAATCAACTGATCTTGAATTGAATGAAGTTCAGTTAACAAAGAAAAATTACACATAGTTCTGATTACTTTGCACATTGTACTATATTACTCACATATGTTTAAGTAAAAAATTAAAATGTTTTTTAATGTGTAAATGTGTAATGTAATCTTATTAGTTTAATGTTGCCACCTCAAGTAAATACCTTCAACTAATTTATATAATATTAACCTTTTTTTGAAAATCGATTCACTGCAACTAAAATTCCTTAACTATAATTTACATCAAAAAACGAAAACTGTTATCAGTTAAGTTTGGATCTAATCTATCAAATGAAATCTATCGTAAATATTTGTTATTGTTTAAAGAATAGTCAATTATCTTTCATGATTAGCACTTTGTTGTTTTAACATTGATTAGAGATAGATGAATAGAACAATTTATTACACTATGTTCATTTGTAATTCTTCTTTCGATTCTCGTTCAATTTAGATTTGCTGCTCAGCTGATTTCTGGAATTCTTGATTATAAAACAATATTAGACACGTAAGTTATGAATTATTGATTGATTCATATTGAATTCAAATTTAGTTTGGACTACATAGTGGAAGTTAATTTATGATTAAAGACTATAAATTTTGACCTCTTGTTATAGTTCGTATTTAATGAATAATATTTCTCAGCAAAAAATATGAAACTATTAATTTGAATGCTAACCATTTCTTTGCATTGAAATACTTTTCATTGAAGATATTAACGGTGATTATCTCTGAAAGATTAATAAAAAGACTTCAACAGTATATAGTGAATTCGTTATAGTTTAAAACTGCTCCGAATTGTTTAAAACGATATGATTAAATTTCAACTTGGCGGTCTTGTGTTATGCTCGTCAATTGATATGCTTGAAACTAGTACCGGTTCACCTTGGTCGGTAAACGAGAGCAAAGACAAATGATCCAGTGATATGATAGGCTGCTCTTATCCGAGCGTCCCAAAGCCTCACTAAGCAAAGGAAGAAATCTTGATATGGTGTAGAAAGTGTATTTTACAATTACCCAGAAAATATAAGGTTGGCAAGTATACAAATAGAGCTTATTTGTACATGATAGAAACGTTCTATGGAGAGCCACAGAAATAGCATTCTGAACTACTACATCAACGAATAACAGTCAAGGATTTTTCTAGTAAAAAGTGTAATCTCAAGGACAACTGGTCAGCCCATGCGCGAAAGCATAACATCCAAAATTAGGACCTTCATCAAATGAGTTCTGGGGATCTAACATCCCCAACACTTTGAAGCGATAAACTTATTAAAAGTTTCACCAGTTATATATACAAACCCGAAAGGTAATCGCTAATGCGCACGTAGTTATTCAATAATTTGTGAGGTGCAATAATATCTAGGTGCCACCTTGTACCAACAACTGTGTGTTTAAGTAAGTAAAGTAATTCATATATGAATTGTTTTTTTCGGAAAAATAGTTTATTTCAGAATCCTTTTGCAGACGAATTTTCTATAAACTAACGTCCAATGCAAAGAGATTTTACTTGATTCATTTGAAATTATGCTTTAAAATTATAATATCCAATATCTATCTGAACACTTAAGAAATCAACATACACTCGTACCATCATTGTAAGCGTCATTGTGGTTAAGAGACCAATTAAATGTTACCTCAAGGTTCATAGCTAGCAAACATAGTCATTGATGAAATTCACACTACATTGTAAAGTGAATTTGCTATGGGCGTGATATCATGTTCATCTTTATATTCTAAATAGTATATTAGGATGAAATTGAATTTTTTATAAATGAACATTGTACAGAATGCTTCATTTCACTGGTAATGTTTTTTTATGAAAATAAGGCAAGTTTTTTCCTTGTTGAGTGAGATGTTTGTAATTTTCACTTCTGTTTACATTTGTTACAGTTCTATTTTCCCGTTGTTGATATTAAGGACAGTAATTGATGGGTTCCCTTTGGTATACCTGTATCTTAAAAGAATTGTGTTGTGTCCTACATTTTTAATGAAGTCGAGTAGTGGCTACCATTAGAACTCAGAACCCACATTTCATCCTCTTTCGGACTTGTCAGGTGAATGTACCTGCATTTCAAGACTCCGGCTCATTTCCTCTTTTTCTTACAAAACCTTAAAGTTCAGTGCACTAGAATGAGTCCAAACAGCCACTAGCTAGTTCGCAACATCTTGTATCCCACTTTGTCCACTGCTTTTATGTCGGTATTGAACTGGTTTGGTTTATTCTTCATTGTTCGCATAAACATGTGCGCTTCTCTTTGCCTCTTCGTCAGTAAATCCAAGTTCCCTAAAATTTATCCCTACTGTAACTATCCTCACTTCTCTTATTATTCCTTGTTTTTCAACCAATGTGATTGTTGAAGTGTTAACTAAACTTTTTACAAGAAGTTAAATTTGATGACAATTTTCACTGTGGAAAAGCAAACAAATAACAACACGTGAAATGAAAATAGACAACTCTCAATGCATAATTATAATAATTACTATTATTATTAAATATCGGAAAAAAAAACAAGAGCTGAGCATACATTCAATGCATGCTTGCTTTGTTTGCATGTGAATACAATGTCGCATACTCTTATAGAGAATGTAAGCAGTGATGTAGAAGGAGTATAGAGCTGTAGAGTATGTATATATACATACATTCATGTATTCGTTTGTTGGGTATGTGTGTGTGTGTAAATGTTAATTGCATTTATCGTGTAATCAAATAGTTGAGTATCATATGAATGCATGAATGAGTCACAGAAAAGAAGGAGGGAAACTCAAAAAAATAACCCTACATACTATTGACCTGTTTTCCACTTCAAAAGTTCATATAATTTTATTTTCCCATCCGCCTAAAAAGTATCTTAATCATTTAAACATACATACATATATAACTATATGTTTATGTATTTATCTATCTTCAACATTAAATAGATTTGCCAACCATATAAATTCTTTTCTTTTCTTCAGTATTAAATACCGAAGATTAAAAAAACTTATCGAAAAGATGATATATATATATATATATATATATATATATATATATATATATATATATATATTCATACATTCAACCTTCAATAAATATCAAATTACAGTTGAAGTTTCGTTTACCACCTGTTTACTTTTTCCACCTTAATAAAATAGAATAAAACTTTCTTTAAAAGGAAAAAGGAGATCCAGAAAGTATTCTTTCGTGCCGTGTTTGGCAATTCTCACTTCCGCTTAGAAAGTCCCTATTTGTGTTTGTCTTTTACAATTTTTTTCCTACAGTAAACGATTTTTTTTTCTACCTTTATTTACTGAATAAAATTTAATTAGAATTCACGCAGTCACATAACTAGAACAACAACACCAAAGAAATCTACTGTACAATGCTAGGAGAAAACAGTTCACTCACTCTCTTCTATGGCTTTCTGAAAAAGAAACAAACAGTGTTTTTAGGGTATTGATATTTTTCTGAAGGTAGAGTTCATGCCCATTCCAACCTTCCTGTTTGTATCGAATGTGCAAACTTTTTTTCCAGACAACGTAGAAAATTTCACCCGACCTCCTTTCATAGTAAACAGAACAGAACTGTTTGATCGTTCAATGTTTTGTTTCATACCCAGCACACTTATATGAAAATGACTAGTAATAAATGATATCATGTTACACTTTTATTAATTTTATTCACATATGAAATAAAAGTAGAAAAAAATCTTTCATAATAGAGACACAAAAAGAAGTCGTTTAACAATGCAGTTAAACTAATTCGATCACATTTGACCGTCCAATAAATGCTAACAAGTTTATAACATAGAACATTCAACATGTTTTACGACTAAACTTGAATAAATGTATATTCAAATAAAACTAGTCATCATATTGAATTAGATAGACTTATCCAACAGAGTTAGTTTAACAAAAGAAATTTAGGAAAATGACATACGTCGCTTCTTAGTGCCAAACTGAAGTCACTATTTTTATAGACGATTACGTTCGAATCTCTGAATAAATTCTGTACATTGTAATAAAGTTCCAACTCCATGCTTCGCATAGTTCGACAAAACAGTAATTAATAAGATATTCTTGGATTTTTGGAAAAAAATGTAACTGTCACCAAAAACTAATAAAATGCCGATTGCGCATTACGCATAAAAGGAACACATTGTCAACTTTCATTCAGAATAAAAACCATGGTATATCACAAAAGTCTCTTCTCCATACTCATTTTAGATACAATGACCAGCTTGTGTTTAATTGAAACTCACTATGACTAATTTTCATAAATTCGTAATACGGATAACGGCTAGTATACCAATAAAATTTCTCTTATCACTTATCACAATTCAAATAATAATTTTATAATCGAAAATTATCAGCAACAGTAACAAACTCTACAACCATCTGTTGGGCTTGTCAGATCCCCAGAACTCGCTTCATAAATATCTTTATTTTGGTTTTATTTCATGGACCGATCAGTTGACTTTGAGATCACATTTCCCACCAGGAAAATCCTTGCCCGTGATTGGTTACTGTGTCATTTTAGTGTACTATTTTTGTGACTGTCCCAAGGACGTCTCTATGGAGTATAAATAAACGCAATTTTAGTGCTTGGTTTCACTGTGTGCTGGCTGGGTGTTTGTAGAATACACTTTCTACGCTATATCAAGACTTCTTGCTAGTACAGTTTGATGAAGGGATCACAGTAGCTTGCCTGGACACTGGTTCATTGTTTTGTTTTCGTTATTTGACCAAGGTGAACTCGTATTAGTTTTAGTGACGAGCATAACACCATCATAATTTAATCGATTAGTTACAGAGTAAAACTATTGAAATATAAAAACTTTCATAGCATAATTTATGTTTTTTTTAAGCATCGTGTAATGCTTTAAAAATGTAAATATTTCAGCTTAAAATATAAACCCAAACTAATTTAGTCCATTCTATTTCATTTTAGACGTTCACTTCCAATTGAACGAGCACGGCATAGTAAAAAAGGTCAACCATTTTGTATGGAACAATATTATCGATTATTTAGTTCATATCGTTATCCAGGAAAAGCGAAAGATGTACTTGTGACAACAGCGGAACGAGATCCATTCGATCCTGAGCATATTATTGTTGTCTATTTAGATCAGGTAAATCTAATTGAAAAAAAATATGCCTTTCTTTAAACTCTGTTAAGCAATCATGTATCTACCTCCATAGTAAATTACGGTACTCTCAAAATAATTTTGTTATCATTTCTTAGTGTGTGGAATAAACAAAACTCCATCGTTACATATTCGGGAATACTAATAGGATGCCATCTATTTTTTTTTTTTTTAATAAATTGCCTAATTTTGTTTTCATACTACCAGTGTTTCTTTCCTCTCCCGTGTATTGTCAACTTTAAGCTTAATTCCATATTGACAAATAATCTTGCGCATAGAATTACACAAAGAAGTGTACATTCGGTCAAACTGTATCATTCATTTTTCGGTGAACAAACACACAAGTCAAGCAACGCACTGATGATTATTGATTATTATTATTATTATTATTATTATTATTATTTTCTTTAAAGAACTTATTGCCTTACTAATTCACTACTTTATATTCATCTATTCATCTATTGAATCATCGTCTTCTTCTATTACTTATTTTTTATTTTGTTCCCTCATGGGAGTAATAATAGGTCACATTATCTTACAAGTAGATTTTAGAATACTCAATAGACAAATAATAATTTTTATGATGAAATATAATTTTTTCTTTTTGTTTGGTAGACTTGAAAAAAAAAAGACCAAATATTGAAAAGATACATAAATTCTCATAGAAAATAATTACTGAACATAAAAAAATTAGAAAAAATTATCTATTTTTTTTAAGTTGTTAGCATAGAAAATGTCAACAATTCCAATAATTGGTTTAAAAAAAATAACAAATATTGCATAATTATTAGTTATAAAGGTTTGTGTTTGAACTTAGTTTGTTATGAACTTAGTTTAACTGGAAAAAATTAGGAAAGACTGGACTACTCTTTCATCTTCGTATGACCTTGTCACAAGTAACGCATTTATAACCCTAGTTAGGAAATTCAGATCACATAGTGAACTCCATTTCTTTAATCAACCAGTGATAACTAACCATTTGTGCAGTAATCATTACACGAATGTTTCTACGAACATTAGTTAAACTACAATGAACATATTGTGTGACATTTGAAATTCAACAATCATGCGAATATTCTGTAATAATAAACAACATAAATGCTTATTAGTGACTAACTTCAAGAGGTAGGTATGTCTAAGAGTATTTTACTCAAAGCGTGTAACCGATGAAGTTGAATCATGTTGAAAGTGAAAACGTCACTCACTACTAGCATACATGCAAGTGTTATAGTTCTAAACACAAAATTTATTAATAACCTGACGCCATTTTATTCACGATAAAGGATTTTTATAAAATATCTTGATTTTCAATATTATTTACTTAATTCTAGAGACTCCTAGGTGAAATTACATTCAAAATGTCAACCCTTCAATGTTCTGTTGCAAAATGACAATATCGTTTGTCATTAATTGGTGTAGACATAAAGTAATGAGCCCGGTACGATGAACAATGATGAAGTGATGTAGAATAAGACAAGGCAAAAAATATCCAATGCTCTTTAATATTCACTGAGTCTTCAGGTGGTGTCAGCTTGAGGCATAACTTATATTCAGAACAAGAAAATACGAATACTAATTCTTATAAATCTTTCAGACTAAGAATGATCTACCCTAATTCAGAACTAAATAAGTCAAACATTATTCATGAAATTTTCAATCGAATCATTTTGTTTCATATTCCTACTTTCCTAGTTCTTCGTGATTGAGGTCATAACCAATGGAAGTAGATTAAGTGAAGAAGATATATACAATCAGTTACGTCGTGTTACACAATTCGCTGAAGAGTCAATAGCTGGTGAAAGTGAAATGGAAGCACAACCAAGAGTTGGTGCGCTAACAGCTTTGCCGAGAAATAAATGGGCAGAGGTTTATGAACAATTATGTCAAGGTAAGACATCATAACTTATATACATATATTTCTTTTGATAAAAAAAATAAATACGCATGAACTTATAAAACAATTTCTGTTATGAATTAATTTCAATCAGCGTAAACTTCGGTATCGAATTAAAGATTCAAACCTAAATGCAGTTTTATTTTTTGACTAAAAGTAGTACACAATGTAGCAGTCAGAACTTTAAATAAGAAAATTCTTTTTCAGTAACAAAATGCAAAAATAATTTTTAGAATTCAGTCAATGAATTTTCTATGTTATTCTTTAAGATTAATAAATATGAAGTTTTAAAATAAAATGTAAACCATATTTTACTCAGAGTAAGTTACATTACACTTCATACTATGAAATAGTAAGGATGACATTGATGAAAATGTACCAACGTAATAAATACATAAAAGTCCCTAAAACAATTAAAATGATATGTACTCTTTTGATATTATCCTAAATGGTTTCAGTCTTTTATTTCAGTTAGTATCAAAGTATAAATGTTTTCACAAACAATGTAACTAAACGTCCAAATCTAGTTATTATCTAACTAAAATAGGAATAGAATTTTCTCTCAGTTTTTACTGAGAAAAAATTTATCATCACTTTCTATTGGATAGTTACTTGAGGTGGATATTGTATGTTCTTAGTGAAAACTATCCTTGAATATGATGGATTTAAGATATAACCTGGAGTACTATGTCATATATTTGTTGAACAACACCAATCGATTACTGTGAATCGATGTTATGTGGACTAGTTTAGAGTGGTGGTGGAATTTCGTTGAACATTTTAATAGCAACGTTTCTTTATTTATCATTATATTCCATACGTCTAGATATACGAGAAAGCACCAGCTTCCAGAGCAACGCTAACGATTATCAACCAGCACAAAATCAATGAGATAAGTGAAATGGTCTACACGTTTGACTGCTTCACTCCCTATCACTAGTTCAGGTGCCGATACAAGCCGATCTTGAAGCAACATTGTGCATTTCTAGGGGAAAAACTGTATCCTGAACTTGTTTGCATTTTTGTTTGGGGTAGTTAGAAGACTCTGCATTTTGTCAGAGTTTTCACCAAATAGAAATGTGTCATCGGCGTATTCTAAGTCAACCAGTGAATCGCCTGGTAGAAGGTCCACCCATGAAAATTCAGACGAGGATAATGTTGCATACAGAAGCAGGTCTGTGATAAAGTTAAATAAGAATGGAGAAAATGAACAGCCCTGACGGACACCATAAGCTCCGACTTGACTAGTAGTATTCGAGTAGAGAGCTTGTATAAGGTTAATGTACTTCTTCGGTACATCTTTCAATGACAGACACTGTCACAGAACCTCACGAACCACTGAGTCGAATGCTGCTTTTAGGTCCAGGAACACAACTATTGTCGGACATCTAAATGTGTGTCTGTGTTCTAGGACCTGTCGTAGTGTGAAGATGTGGTCTATACAGCGAGGTCCAGGTCTGAAACCAGCCCGGTTTTCTCGAGTCTACTCTTCACGAGCTCTAGTTAGGCTTTCAAGTGTTATCGAGGCTAACAAATTAGAAGCTAAATTAGCTATACTGATTTCTCTGTGAATGTCACAGGAGGACTTTTGTCCTTTCCCATAGATTGGGACAATCAGTGATCGAGACCGGTTGGATGGGATTACGCCCAGTCCCCAGATTCTACCTAAGATCTCAATTAATGTCACTGCTAAAACTGGACCACCATCCTTAAAAACCTCACGGATCAGTCTATCAGGACCTGTTGCTCTCCCTCGCTTCAGATTTCCTATCGCTTCCTCAACTTCATAAACAGCTGGAGGACTTACGTCAATCTTCCATTCAGGATGACTGGAGATCGTGGTAGCTGAAGTGTTGCTGAAGGCCACTTGAACTTATCCTTGTGGTGTTCTGCTCATCGATACAATCTCCTGGATTGAAAATGAATAGTAGTCCCATCTTTTTCCGAAATAGTCTCACTTACATTGGGGTCCCTAATACCGGTTGCCCTGATAAGTCTCAATATTTGCTTACTGTTGCCAGCAAGAAGTATCAGTGTTCTCAAGGGAACTGGTCATCCTTAATAGGTTCGATATCATGTCACCTAGGTTCATAGTCTGGGAGGTTGCCACTGAGCTATTCTAATGGTAGCTGACCGCCTTTAGGTCTGACATTTATAATCGATTTGTCACTGAACGTGGCTCTATATCATTTTTGTTTAGACCTCTACACTTTCACATTCTTGTGTTTCTTTTTCGCCCTCTTTCTTTTCACTAGATTCAGAAAATGAAGAAAATTTAAAAACTATTGCAAAAAGCATGTTTGTATTATGTTTAGATAAACCAATTCAAGCAGTTGAAGAATTGGATGAAACAACAGATATTAATGGATTTTTAAATGAAACTAATGATTCAAGCTATTTAAATAAACGTGATGATGTTTCATTAGCTTTACAATTATTACATGGTATGGGTAGTTCATTTAATGCGGCTAATCGTTGGTACGATAAAACAATGCAAGTGAGTTATATGCTAAAGCACTGGAGATTTCAATTCTTTGAAAGTTAATATTTCATAAAATTATTTATAAAATTCATATAAAACAGCATCAAACTGTCATATTCTCAGTAGTAAGCAGGTTTCACAAACGAGTTCTTTAGGTTCTGGTGAAAAGTTATAACTTCTAGAGTTAATCAGGTTCAGAGCGAAACAGTTACTCCTAAGTGATACCTGGTGGAATTCATGGTATACTTGAAAATAACTGAAGCTAGAAAATACTTACAGAATTCTTCTCTGCTATTCTGTGTGAAGTTCTGAGTCCTTAGTGTTAATAAGTTTCAAGGCACAGTAGTTAGTAGTTCTCTTTAGCTTTACGATTTTCAATGTTTGTGTTGCTGATTTTTTTTTCTCGTCATGAAAATACTATACATATTATACAGAATTCTTTACAAAGTAACTTTTAATTTTAAAAAAAAGTTGAATTTAACATCACAGAAATTTTGAAATTTATATCTAAATAAAATAAGCTCCTTTTATTTTACAAAATATTCAGAATTTCTCATACTGAAGTCTATATATTCACAATAAATAGTATCCATTTGCTTGTAACTGGTTGCCTTCAACAAACTTAAACATTGAAAAAAATACAATTAATTGAAAAGTATAGTGACAATCATAGAACATTCTTACACTGTAGGACTCTAGATTTATAAAGATTAAATAACAGATTTTCATGTCTCTATATAATGACTGACGAAGATAACATTAAAAGTAAGTGATACTGCCTTAGTTTTATTTTAATAACTTGTTAGCTTGTTATGTTCCGGATGGAATTCCCGGTATTTTTTCACTTCAAGCTATCAAAACACTGATTATTGTCAAGTTACACAAACCGAGTCAACTATATCCTGACTGCTGGCTTATAAAACTTCATAGAATTCATTCATATATATAAATATATATTGTCATTTATCATCTGTCACAGTCTAAATTCTATTCTCTTCAGCTGATTGTTTGATAAGACGATTCATTTATCAATGTAACAAAAATTTTTCTAAAAACAAAAAACCATTTATCAAAACAAATACAAAGTATGTTTGTATCACTGAATTTTACTCATCATAAACTTGCCAATGATTGTTAGTGCTCTTGAAACAATTCAACAGTACACATTAACAAACAATCATTAAGTTTCATGCCACTGTACATCTTGTAAGGAGATACAGATAATTTGATAAAGTACCAATATTTTAACACTAGCTGAGTTATATATTGTATGTGTACCATTAAAAAACACAAGGAAATAAATACAAGGACTAAGACTGTGAAATTTCTAGGTGATAAGTTAGTTATATGTCATGCGTTAAAGAGATTGTGTATGATTAATTCATTTGAAATAGCCTTTTTGTTCCTAATGATTAGCTGAGTAAAACAAACAAATCGATTAACCTTTTGACACCAAAATTAATACACTATTAATTAATACGTCTATTAATTTCAATTGCTGGTTAGTATTGTTGAAATGCTTAGTATAATGTATTTGCTACTCACATTGATTTACTACTGAATAGAAACTAGAGTCAGATTTATTCAATCCAACAATTAAATAATTATACTTTATAATAGTTTTATCAAGGTTAACGGCTGGCTACATTAACAGATTTCAAATAATAGTTGAATTTATTATGCTGTTTTGTTTTTATAAAAAAAATTTGATAAAAATACGTTTTTCTTTTTGGTTTGTATAAGTTTATCGAATATTCAAGTTTTAAGCATTGTTTGGGAAAAATTCAACAAGTTCTTTCTCATTTATATTGGATAAATTCTATTCAGGTATTAAATAACATTTTTGATAAATGAAGTATTTGCAGAGGAGAAATTTTACTGAAATGTGAATGCCTTTCAGTCATAATGATCAATTTGCGTACTAACGTCTGGTTAAAAAGTTTACTTGTAGAAATAGGCTTGACAAGAGATTCATTGGAGAATTTGTAAGTAATTTACATTTTAGAATTTTGTTAATAGTTGTATTAGGTATTGTGCGGGTCTACGGCCAAAGCATTGCAACACGACATCTAAGTGGTTTGATACTATTGAACCTAGTATTTTCGTCAATATATATATATATATATATATATATATATATATATATATATATATATATATGTGGTGTGAGCTACTTATAAGTAGTATATGACTGAGTGTCAACGTAATGTCTGGCAGCGGAAGATGGGGGAAGATCAAGAAAGGAAGAGTTAGAAAACAATGGAATTTGTATGAAACATATGAATAGTGACAATGGATTGATGTTTTGCAACAGTAACAGTCCAGTTTGATATGATGGACTGATAATTTGCAAATTAACGATTTACGATTTGGTTTTCCAATTTTACTGAGTAACTGTAATTTTCGTTAAATACAATTCGGTTGCCCTCACCGGTGTTCTCCTTCACTACGCATACATGTATGTATATATGTAGCAGTAATAAAATTATTGTGCCTCCATTTTATTGTTTATTGTCAATTGTGAATATGATACAGTTGCAGTTTTGTTTAAGAAAGTCAAATTCTTATCTTTGACGGTTTTAATTGAGATTTGCCTTTGGATTGTTTATTGAGACATGATTTTGTAGACATGCTGTTTTTTCTTGCATCATATTATTTGATAGAATAAGAGTGGTTCAAATTTATTATTTTTTCGATTTATGCACGAACAATCACTTCAACTACAAGTTATTGCTTACATAAATAATTCCTAACAATTAACCAGTAATAGGAGTATGAGGTCAGTTATAAGTAGAGATAATTGTCCATTCAACAGAAATGAAGAAAATGAAAATGCTAAGGTCATCATAATAAGTGAATGATAATCATTATATCTGGACAATTATCTCTACTTATATCTATTCTCGTCCGCTATTTTTCTAACTCTTGGATTGTAACGTAACTTCTTCTTGACATTCAAATAACACTCTTCCATATACTGGTTATTATTACTATTAAATTTAATACTTGGAACCTTTTAATTGAAAATCGTACACTGTGCTCACTTGTGACTAGCTTCGTGAAGAAATTCACAAAGTTCTATTGGGAAGATGTGACCAGTGGAGTTGAAACCTGTCAGGTGCAGGCAGTAACTACCGAAGACAAATGGGTGAGGTAGCATAAAATAACTAAATCGATCAAAGTTGGACACTGTTAGATGCCAACCCAGTGGTCCATAGGTTAGGCTTTCGTGCGAGACTGAAGGTTATGGATTCGAGTCCTGTGAGTAGCAGGATTCGTAGATGCGCACTGCTGATGAGCCCCATACCTGGACGAAACGGTCGTCCAGTGCTTCCAAGTTTTCTATGGTGGTCTAACAATCGTTGGTTCATGATATCGATGTATAAAAATAATGGTCTCCATAACTCTGATTGAAAATCTTAATGGATAACCAATACTTAATTGTGTCATTTACTATTCTATGTTTTGTTAGATTAATTCATGAAAATCCAGTGTTGTGTGTTGTTCACTTTCATTTATTAAAACCGTATAACTTATAAAGTTCAGATGGTCAGATTTTGATACAAAGTAACCCTTCTGTATAACAATAAATAAATTCACAAACTGATATTTTGTATTTTAGCGTTGTGGAAAATGAAATCATGAATCGATCAATTTTAGGCCACCATTAGAAACCTTGAAACACTGGACGCCTGTTTCGTCCTGCTATGGGACTCATCAACAGTTCGCATTCGCCACTCCTACCACTCTCAGGATTCGAACCCCTGGCCTTGCTCGCGAACACTTAACCCCTGGAACACAGAGCTAGCACACACCAGTGTTACTGTCTAATTTCGATGCGCTCCACAGATGAGTCAAGGTTTCTGATGGTGGTCTAACATTGATTGATCGACGATTAAAAAAAAATCGACATTTCCAAATTTTTATTTAAAAGTTATTAATTAAAGTGACCAAATTTTAACCTTATCAGTTTTATTCCGTTCATTAAATGGACAGTTTATTATTTTCTTAATAGAATTCATTAAAGTGTTTGAAAAAATTTATTTCTTCACTTACTAAAAAATTATTAATAAAATACTAATCTTTCCAGCATTAAAAATGATATTTTTTTAAGCTCATTAAAAAATTAGTCATCGTTTCTAGTTCACCTCTCTATCGCCTCATCTTATGCCATTGGATTTATTTTTCTTAAACAGAATTCAACTATTCATAATACAAATAACTTAATGATCAGGATCTTTCATAAAATTCCTTTCCTGTCATGGAGATAAGGCAGCTAGCTCTACAATCCGAACAGAGCTGAAAGCACCACTTACTAAATTTTTAGTCCAAGTAATCTAATAGTCATCATTTCATTTAAAAAAAAACCCGCAATTCACCTCTTCTTCTAAAACATTCATATGAATTCATCATTTAAACAATTTTTAGATTGAAATTTAAAAAAAAACGTATTACTTTGGAAAAAAAACAATTTATCAGAATAGTACTTAGGTGAAATAGTTCATTCTCAAACCCAAATTTACAAAGTAGCATTCTCATTACTTTAGCTTAGCTCTACGTCATTTTTATTCACTAACAATCACAATCTAACTCTGATGAACTAAATGACACTGTCAATAAACCGGTTTCACACATCCACACAAACATAAACTTTGACATTTATTCACATATAATAATAATAATAATAATAATAATAATAATGGTGAGAACACTATTTGTAAAAAACGTTGAACATTAATTCAAACTCAACATCTGTTGTTCTCTCCCATGGAACAAAAGTTTCCTTACTGTTTATACTTAGTCTGATATATATGTATATATACATAAACAAATTAATCGATAACATGTAACAACTAAAAAGATTACGATATTTGTGATAATGACAAAGATAATGATGAGTTGTTCTAAGAAATACTTAAAAAAACACTGTTCGTATTTGCAAGAAAGAAATAATCTACGAAATAACACAAAAAGTCCCATGAATTACGACCCACTTTTGGAAGTCCGATCGATTA